CCCTCCTCGGTCAGATCCTGGAGAGCAGAGACTGTAATCCATGTAGTGCCGGCTGAGGAAGACACGGGTTGAGAGTGTGGAGCTGGTCCTGCCTCCCCCACGCCCAATCACCAGGGCAATACCTTCGGGGGCCAGATCATGGCCTGGATGGAGAATGTGGCCACCATTGCAGCCAGGTGAGGGGAGAGTGTCCTGCGTGTGCCTCCCTTCCTTTCTCCCCTCCGTCCCTTAGCCACAGTATATCAGCAGTGCCCTATGAGTGCAATAAGATCTCAGAGAACAGTCAGAGTCTGGATAGTCCGGGAAGGCTTCCTGGAGGAAGAGCACTTCAGCTGGGCCTTGAATGACAAGTAGCTTTGGGTAAGGGGAGAACTTCGAGGTAGTAGGGACAGCAGGTGCTAGATACAAAGGTTGGAAGGGCTTGGTTGGATTGCCCCAAGCCCTGCCCTAGGCTTTCTTCTGTCATCTCAGACTCAGCTGCTCTCCAGCTGCTCAGTATTCCAAGCTCTGAAATGGGACTCAGTTCTGTTCCTCTGGGCAGAACTGTCACTGAGTGGAGTGGGTGGGCCTGAAGGTGGTGCATGTGGTTTTGGCTAGGTCTGGGGATGGGGATAGGGGTAGAGGCTGGTTTAAGCCAGTGGCTAAAGCACTAGGGGCATTTCTCCTGTCCCCAACCCCTGGCCTCCTCCAGCCGGCTGTGTCGTGCCCACCCTACGCTGAAGGCCATTGAGATGTTTCACTTCCGGGGACCCTCCCAGGTTGGGGACCGCCTGGTGCTCAAGGCCATTGTGAACAACGCCTTCAAACATAGGTGAGGGGCTGGGAGGGGCAGGATCGGGGTCCCTGGGGGCTGAGGGCTCTTCCTGACCTGAGAACGGACTCTATTGCAAACCTGCTCAGTCCTTTCACCTTCACCAAGATTCAGCTCTGATGTTCCCTGCTCTGGGTGCCCCAGCCCTGTGTCTCCTGCTGGCTCAGTACCACGTGTTCATTCTGTGTCTCTCTCCCTGGCTCCTGCCTCTGGGCCTGCACACTATGGATCACAGGGCCACCTTTTGCCAGTATTCTGTTGTCATTATACCTTTTCTAACCCTTTGCCTTAAACGAAACTTAGTCCCCAGAGCCCTTACCTTTGAAATGAATCCTGACATTTACGCCCATGAAAGCTTATTTTAAATATCTTTTTTGGTGATTCCAAAGATCATATAGTGTAGTCGATAAAAGCAAAGATCTGGAGCCAGGCTGCCTAGGTTCAAGTTTGGCTCAGCTCTTACTAGCTGTGTGACTTTGGGCAAGTTACTTAACCTCTCTGAGCCTCAGTTCATGTAAAATGGGGCTCACCACAACTATCTTATAGTTTTAAGGATTCAGTGACCTGTTACTAGTAGAATGCCACAGAACATGTTCAGTGAAGGTCAGTCATTGCTGCTGCTGCTATTATTATTATTACTATTCACAGCCTGACCAGCACACATTCTGCTGCCATGCAGGGGGAAAGCTGTGAGGCCTGGTTTCTAGCCCAGATTCTCTCCTGACTGTTGTGTGACTTTACTTACTGCCCTGTTCTAGGTCTTAGTGTCCCATCTGTATGATGTCTACATTATGGGGTCAAGACCTTCTTAACTGAGGGGGATGGCGGTGGCTGCTATTTTATAATTATTAAAGACAGTCAGATATAGCGAAACAGCAGCCACTGAGCTGTTATAAAGTGCTGACGGTTGGGTGTATAATGAACGCTTTTTCTAACTGGGCTCAGTACCTCCCTCTCCTTGCCTGTATTCTTCCATAACATAGTTTCATAACATACTGTCATCATATGTATATATTTGTGGCTGCAACCCCCAGCTATTAGTCCATGAGAACATGGACCGGACAGGTTTATTCATTTCTGAGTCCCCAGTGACTGGCATAGGGCCAAGCACGCAGTAGGTGCTCTGCAGACACTGACCAAAGGGAGCAGCTCTGGGTTTCCTGCCAGAGGGGCTCTGACCCAGGAGGAACTGCAGGAGTGCATGTGTGTGCCTGCACATGTGCGTGTGCATGTGTGTTGGGAGGGGTGAGGCCGTGGGAAGGTCTGTCCAGCGTGAGAGCAGCCCTCCCTCGCCCTCAGCATGGAGGTGGGCGTGTGCGTGGAGGCCTACCGCCAGGAGGCCGAGGCCCATCGGCGGCACATCAACAGCGCCTTCATGACCTTTGTGGTCCTGGACCCAAATGACCAGCCCCAGATGCTGCCCTGGATTCGGCCCCAGCCTGGGGTGAGTGGGTGCAGCACCCTGCCCTCCCCCCAGCTCCCTTCCCCCCTCTCTGCCCCGGGTGGGGGTGCCTGCCAGCTCCTGATAGGCCCGAGAGCAACAAGCCCAGCTTTGCCCGTCTGCTGGGTGCCCTTGTGTGGCCCCTGGAAATGCCCCTTGTGCCAGGTGGAAACCTTGTTCTGCCTGAAAGAATTCAGGCCGTGCATGTGGGCCTGGCTCATCGTGGGTGTGAACAGCGTTGGAAGAGCACTGGCTTTGGGGCGATGTGTGTTGGAACCAGCTCTGCTACATTCTAGTGGGTGCCTCTGTGAGCTCTGGGTCCCCTCCCGTAAAGCGGTGCGCCTGCAGCCCAGTCCTCACGGGGCTGTGGGGTCTATGGGATATTGACCCCGTGCCTGGGTAAGGCCTGCAGACACTCAGGAAGTGCTGACAGTGATGACGATGGTGACAGGAGAGCAAGGAGGCAGGAAGGAGAATCAGGGCCGGGGTTCAAAGGCTGTCCCTTCAAGTCATGCTCCCTTGTGCCTCCACTGGGCTAGGCCTGGCTTGCTCTGGAGGATCAGGGAGTGAGCTCTCACTGGGATGGCCCCTGTCCTGCCTGCCTCACAAGGCTGAGTCTGGCTGTGACATTCCCTGCTCGCAGCTGGGTATTGGCCAGTCAAGAGTGGGCGGTCCGTGGAGGAGTGGGAGCCTAGGAGATGGGCGGTGCCGTGCCCAGATGCTTTCAGGCCTTTGCCGTTTAATGCTCCCGAGTGAGGACACCTTAGAAGTAGAAGTTAAGAGTCAGGCTCTGAGTCAGCCCGTCAGTGCTTGTTCCTGTGTCCTTGGGCAAGTCCCCTAATCTTTCTGCGCCTCAGTTTCCCCCTCTGTAAAGTGGGATTATACTAGTCCCAACCTCAGAGGGTTGCTGTAAAGGTTAAATGAAATTTTGCATGGAAAGCACTTTAGATGAATGCCTGGCACATAGTAAGTGCTCAATAAATATGGGTTCTTATTACCATTGTAAGTGCCCTTAGGGATCCCATTCTACCGGGGAGGAAACTGAGGTCTGGTGAGGGCAGTGGTTCCCAGGGTCACTCAGAGAGCTTGAGGGGAAGCTGGGACTCAGTGGCCCGGCGTGTTCCTGTTCAGGTTGCTTTGACTCTGGCTGCCCCAGTGGGGCCAGAACACCTCAGGGCTGCAGGACCTCCTTGGGCCCTTGGGAGGGGGGCGGTGGTCAGACAGTAACAGGGATGGGGGACAAGTTGTTGTCCCATCTGTACCATAGTCTGTCCCTGCTTCTCTCCCCAGGACGGTGAGCGGCGGTACCGAGAGCCAGTGCCAGGAGGAAGATCCGCCTGGACAGGCAAGTTGGGGCTGGGTGGTGGGAGGGGACACAGGGTGCAGGGCTGTCCACCTGCTCCCCAGCCTCAGGGACTTGCATTTCTCCGATGCGGCCCCTGTGCTGGGCACTGGCTGGGTCCTTTACATCCGTGTCACCTCATTCCACATCCCATGTCTGACTGGCCCATTGTACAGGCGAGGACACTGAGAACAGAGGAATTGTGGCCACGGGCACACAGGAGTGATTGGCAGAGTGAGAATTTGAACCTGGCCGGGTCTGGCCGATTTAAAATCTTTTGTTCCTTCCATGGACTCTGATGCCCATTTGGCAGATGAAGAAAGAAAGGCCCAGAGAGGAGAAGCGATGGCTCAAGGAAGCACTGTATCATCATTTGTTATTAGTAAGAAAAGTGTGTGTTTATGGAGCCTTTACATGCCAAGGCTGTTCTCGTGATGAGCCTCTGAGGCAGGGGTGACTGCAGATCCCATTTCACAGATGAGGACACCGAGGCATAGTGGCGAAGTCGCTTTAGCTCAGCCAGGGTGTGGGGCACTGAGCCTTCACTAGGCACCGGCACCGGCACCGGCACCGGCACCCCCCCCCCATCCTGTCCTACCTCTGACTGAGTTTGTATGTTCTCGCTGCTGTGTTCTGTGTGCCCATCCCGTCTCCCTGGCCAGACAGGGGTCTCTCCTGCCCTCTGGGCTGAGCACAGGGCCTGGCACACAGTTGGCATGCGGTGAAGCCTGTTCAAAGAGATGGCTCCCGAGGGATCAAGGTTGTCACCTTTCCTCTCTCCCAGGAAGTACATTGTGTCCTGCAAGCAGGAGGAGATGCCTCTCTCTGTGCCCTGGGACCCTAGCAACCAGGTAAGGCCCCAGCTCTGAGGGGAGTCCTCAGGCCCACCGTCCCCGTTGTCAGAGTGGGGTTGGAGGAAGGCCTGAAGGGGACAGGATGCTAATGCCTCAAGGTGCATACAGTTAGCAAGGGCTCTCCTGATGTCCCTGTTTGACAGGAGGGAGCTGAGGCCCTGAGAGGAGGAGTGGCTTGTCCAGGGTTGCTGGTCGAGTCTGGCCAGCCCTGAGCCTCCTTCCCCAAAGCCCAGCGCCCACCCTCCTTCACCACCCCAGCTCCTCCCCCACCCCAGCATGGCCTCGGCACCGAGCCTGCGGGAGGGGAGAAGGCGAGGTTTCTCTGTGTGCCCTGTCCAGGTGTATCTGAGCTACAACAACATCTCCTCCCTGAAGATGCTTGCGGCCAAGGACAACTGGGCACTGTCCTCGGAGATCAACCAGGTAGCTGACCGCACCCACCCACCCTTCTCTTCTGAGCAGCCAGAGGTGGCAGACTGCAAGCAACAGAAAGTCCCTCAACTCACTCATGTCAGAAGGGCATTTCTTTTTTTGCTTTTTGTTTTTGTTAATCCTCACCCGAGGATATTTTTTTCATTGAGAGTGGAAGGAATGAGGGAGAGAGAGAAACATCGATGTAAGAGAGACACACTAATTGGTTGCCTCCTGGACGCGCTAGGACTGGGGCCAGGGAGGGAACCCACAACTGAGATATGTGCCCTTGACCGGGAATTGAACCCAAGGCCCTACAGTTCACAGGTCGACACTCTGACCACTGAGAAACACCGGCCAGGACAGAAGGGGATTTAAAAAATATATATATATTATATTTATTGATTTTAGAGAGGAAGGGAGAGGGAGAGAGAGATAGAAACATCAATGATGAGAGAGAATCATTGATCGGCTGCCTCCTGCACATCCCCCACTGGGGGTCAAGCCTGCACACACTGGGCATGTGGCCTGACCGGGAATCGAACTGTGACCTCCTGGTTCATAGGTTGAAGCTCAGCCACTGAGCCATGCTGGCCAGGCAAATCACTGCTTCTTAAAACACCTTTCTGTCCACTTGTGCTGAATTATCTCAACAGCCACTTTCGTAGGGATGTGACTGAGGCTCACAGAGGTTGAGTCACTTAATTGCAGTCACACAGCAAGTCAGAGGCAGTTCTGAGCTTCTGGCCCTGGCCTCCAGCATCCCAGTCAGCCCATCCCACTCCCAGCATAGTCTGGGAAGGGGGAGACACGAACGAGGCCACCCTCTGTCCCACGCAGGTCGGCCTGTACACCCTGGAGGATGACAAGTACCTCTCCTTCCACATGGAGATGTTGGTGAATGTGGACGCGGCCCACGCCTTCCTGCTGCTGTCAGACCTGCGTCGGAGGCCTGAGTGGGACAAGCATTACCGGTGAGGGCCAGGGCGCAGGTGGGGCCAGTTCCCGTCTCAGGCCTGGTGGGGAGGGCGGGTCCTCAGGTGTCCTTCGGCTGAGCTATTCCTTATTATGCTCAGCCCGGCTGGCCTTTATCGGGGTTGGGGTTTGGGGGGTGGGGTGGGGGTGGGGTAGGGGACTGTAGTCATGTGTTAGGTGGGAGTCAGGGTCAGGGTCATTCTGAGCCTTCAGAGAAGGACTGAGCCTGGAATTGAAGTTGAGGGCCTGGTCCTGTTTCTGGTCCCGCTAGCTGTGTGACCTTGGGCAAGTCATTTCCATTCCATTCCTGGGCTTAGTTTTCTTCCTCTTAAAATGTGTGCTTCAGAGGTGAGTCTTAGCTTTACCCTCAGGGATAGATCAGTGATTTTCAATCTGTTCTCAGGAGTTTTCTGTTCCCAAGAGAGTTCCAGATACTGCTTGGGGTGGGGGATGGAAGGCTGAAAGTCTGGCTGGGACCCCCTCCCCGATTCAGGCCAACTAGTAGAATGGCCAATTTGCTGAATTTACCATGTGTTAGCTCTACGTCTGGGTATGGATATAAATCGCCAGGATTTCAGTGTTTAGTATGAATGTTAAGTTGAAAGTGGTTTTTGTCAAGTGCCTGTGAAATCATTGTCTGTTATGCCAACACCGTGCTTTGGGGGGCGCCTCTTTGATCATTTCTCCACTGGCTTGTTACAAGGAGCCTCTGTTTCCGAGTCTGTCCACAAGGAGGACCTGTGCTCTTGGAAATCCAGTGAGCAGGCCATCTGATTTTTGATAAATTGGCCTTCTCCCTCCTACCTCCACGGGTCCTCACGTGAGCAGGTCCACTTGCAGCTGTTTACACACGGGCTTTCTGCTTAAGATTTCTTTGCAAAAAGGGAGGTGCTGCTTTAAAAAAAAGCCCTGGTCTAGGTGACTGGAGGCCTGCTGGCAGTGCCGTTCGAGAAGCCTGAGAGGTGATTTGCTGGTGGGCACTGGGGAAGCTGGCTGTTTGGTAGGAAGTGGGCTGGGGTGGGCCTGGAAGGCCAGGTCAGATCTCGCTGTTTGATGGGATTTGGGGGAAGTAACTTGAGGGGAAAGAGAGCCCCACGCTGCTTCTCCCCACCCTGCTCCTGAGACAGCCTCTGTGGAGGGCAGAGGAGCAGGGGAGGAGGTGACAGGTTTGGACATGGTCATGTGTACCTCTGTGGATGTCCTCGTGTGTGTGTGTGTGTGTGTGTTCGTGCATATGTGTGCATGTGTTTGTATAAGCCAGGGGTGGGGAACATCGGGCCTGTGGGCTGTATAAGGTCCACGAAATCATTTGGTCTGGCCCTGCCAAGGCATTAGGGGTGAGTTAATGAAATGTCTGACCAAATAGAGCAGGCTAATTTTTAAGTTGATAGTTTTGTGTGGCTTGTGAATGATGTCATAAATATCTGCATGGTCCTTGGCAGAAGAAAGGTTCCCCACCCCTGGTAGCCTACATGTATGTACAGGCACATGGGTACAGTGTACCCGACGGCCTGGGCACATTCCAGCTCTGCTTCTCTATTAGCTCTGTGGCTGTGGACAGGTTGTTTCCCCTATGAAGAGGGGCTGCTAAGAGTACCTGCCACCTGGGCTGAAATGCATGGTACACCTGGTGCCTGGCACACAGTGGATACTCACTAAATGTTCAGTACAACCAGGAAATCAGCACACCTCTGAGTCAGCACGTGCACCTGCACAGACTGTCCAGACACGCATGGGTCTGTGTGTGCATGGTAGGTGTCTATCCATGTGTCTGAGCATGCAGCTATGCCCACAGGTGTATTTGTGTGCGTGTGTGGGCGCGCACCCACGTGTGTGTGCATACGTGTGTGTGCATACGTGTGTGTGCATACGTGTGTGTGTGTGTGCGTGCATGCATCTTGGCCGGGCCTTTCTGCCCACCTGTGGGCCCTGCTGAGTGTGTAGGGGCTGAAGTGTCCCCAAGCATTGGCTCAGGGAGGCCAGACCTGCTTTCCTACAAGGAGCTGGTGTGACCCTCTTGGGCCCTGTGGTCTGGGCCTCCTCACAGGAACGTGGAACTAGTGCAGCAGGTGGATGAGGACGATGCCATCTACCATGTCATCAGCCCCACCCTCGGCACTGACCCCAAGCCCCGGGACTTCGTGATCCTGGCCTCTCGGCGGAAGCCTTGCGACCACGGGTGGGTGCCTGCCTGCTGGGTGGGAGGTGGGCAGGGCAGGGAGGGGACATCAGCTAGAGTCGGCTCTCTGCTTTCTCCTGGCTTTTCGGAGCTGCCATGGAGGACAGGGAACACCCTCCCCTCTGGTTGCTCCCTCTAAAGCAGGGTAATCCCTGACCCTGAGGTGGCAAGGCCATTTCTCACAAGGCGCCGCCTTGGCCGCCATCTCTGACAGCCCTGGTGAGGATGCCGGACAGACGGCTCACTTTTGCTGGACAGGCACAGAAAGAGGAAGCGGACAAATCCCAAAGCCCACACTGCTTCCTCAGGGGCTTTTCCAGAAAATCTGCAGTGAGTCCCTCTGGCTCCTGTCAAATGCAGGGCTGTTAACGTACAGGTGCCTCCTCTCTCCAGCCTGGCCCGGAGCCAGACATGGGCCCTCTAAGAGTTTACATGACTTTAGACTCTGGTGTCAGTGCCTAGGGGAGCTCCACAGGCTGGGTCAGAGCCAGAGGGGGTTCCAGAGCCTGGGCTGGGCAAGACAACCCTCATCATCTTCTGTACTCCCCCCTCCCTTCACTCCAGGGACCCCTACGTCATTGCACTACGGTCAGTTACGCTGCCCACCCATCCTGAGACGCCAGAGTACAGGCGTGGGGAGACCCTCTGCTCAGGCTTCTGCATCTGGCGCGAAGGGGACCAGATGACCAAGGTGAGGCCAAGTGACCCCTTCCCCCACCCGAACCACCCCAAACCCACATGCACGGAGCTCAGCACTGCCCGGCTCACAGTTTCAGCCGTGGGCCCCCACCCCTTGTCCGACAGTGGGTTCTTCCAGCTGGGGGGGACCTAGGCATGTCAGGGGCTAGAAGTGAGCCTTCATTAAAATCTAATCTGCGCAGAAAAGTCCGAGGCCCCTGCAGGGTCTTGGGAAAAGCTCTGCCTGCTGAGGGCAGAAGCCCTGGTTCTCATCTAACGTTCATTTAGCACATGCTTTCTTGTCTGGGAGGGCTTTCTCTGGTTCTCAGCGCCCACCTGACTCAGCAGGGCAGTCGGTGTTGGAAATGTGGGGGAGGGGCTGAGAGCGAGGAGGGAGGGTCTGCGCAGCTGCCCTCCTTGGCCCAGAGCCAGTGGGCAGGGGGTGGTGGTGGTGGGGAGGGGGGCCCTGAGACTTGCCCGGTAACACACTTCCCTGATGAGCTTCTCAGGACAATCTCTGGGCGTACTTATCATTCGTCTCTAAGGCCCTAATAGACCTTCACTGAAACAGGATTCTGTGTTGGGCTCTGCTCCTTGTCTCACAGGGCCTCCCTGCTGGCAGGGAGCCACCGGACGACAGGACAGTGTGTGGTGGCAGGGACCCTAGGTTTGTCAGTACCCAGAGGGAGGGGCCAGGGGAACTGCCTGAGGAGGCCACGCAGGCCACGCCTGCCAGCCGCAGACCCCAGGCTGCTGCCCTCTCGCAGGCCAGCAGGGCCACTGCCCTCCCATCCGGCCCAGCGCCTGAGTGTGGCTTCCTGTCCTGCAGGTGTCCTACTACAACCAGGCCACCTCGGGCTTTCTCAATTATGTGACCACCAACGTGGCCGGCCTCTCTTTGGAGTTCTACAACACCTTCAAGGCCTGTGAGAAGTTCCTTTTGGACAACCGCAATGATCTGGCGCCCAGCCTCCAGACCCTCTAGGCACCGCAGCAGCTACCACACGCCCACACCACCCCGCCCAGGACACCTGTACAGCGCACTGAGGAAGGCAGGGCTTTTATTTCTTCCTCCTCCCCCACGGGAAGCCTGACCCCAGGGACCTCCTGTCCAGCACCACTGGGCCGTCAGTTTCTGCCAACATCTGCCAGCAGGTCTTCGAGATAACTCTGGGGCAGCACGTAGTAGACCCGGGTCTTGTCCACGGCCCTGGCCGCCAGCAGCCCTTCCCGCACGGATGTATAGTTGCCCGCCCAAGGGCTGTGCTGCACTGTGACGGTGGCCCTGGGGGAGGCTGCCAGTAACCTGGCCACCACCCCGGCCTTGCTCCGGCCCAGAGGCCCAGACTGGAGCTGGAAGGACACAGGCTGCCAGAGGCCCTTGCTCAGCTCCAGCATATCCGTGAGCAGCTGCTCCTCGTAGCCACTGTCCAGTACCTCCTCAGGCCAGCCCAGGGCCACTGTCACGTGGGGGAAAACCTCAGCCACAGCGGTGAGCAGCTCCTTGCCGGGCACGTAGCCAGGCACTGCAAAGCTCCCATGGGAGACTGTGGCCTCCACCCACACAGGCAGGGAGAGGAGACTGAGGTTGGAGAGGTGGGCCAGCATGGCCAGGGCTGGCCGAAGGGCACTGGGCTCTGCTATGAGCAAATGGACTCCCCAGCGTCCAGGGTGTGTGGCGAGCTGCAGCAGACACGACTCCAGCGCCAGGGCAGAGTCACCCGAGGCATACACGACGGGCACGGCGTCTCCAGCGCCAGGCTCCTGGAGGCTGACGTTCAGCAGGATCATGCCTTCTTTTCCTGGGAGAGGCGGCGGAGGCCACAATGACTGTGCCTGCCTCTCTCATAGCTCAGTGTGGCTAAGGGCTCAAGGGTGCTGGTCCGAAGGCCAGGAACCCCATCCCCTTGGCAACACTGTCCTCCCCCACCTCCTAGTCCCTGCCCCAAGCAAAGGAAAGCCCCTGCAGTGTAGCTGGGAGCACAGGGGCTGCAGCCCTCACCTGAGAGTTGAACTGTGGCTGCTGTTGCATTGCCCCGGATGTCAGGAACCTGCCACTCCACGCTCAGAGCGTCGCCCCCGGGGAGCTGGAGAAGGGGGATCAGACTGCCTCCTGAATAGTAACTTCGCTTCCGTGTGGCGTTCACTGTGGGACCCCAAATTGTCATAATGAAGTGGCCGCCGTTCACAGAGCGCCTTCTGTGTGCCACAGCTAGCCACACTTCTATTCTACAGCCAATGGCAGAGTTGCTGGGATTGGAACCGGTTGGAGCCAGGTTTGTCTGGTTCCCCTTCACCTGGGTGGCTCCCAGGAGAGGAATGTTGAATCTGATGGGTCCATGGCCTAACTGCAGGCTCTCCTAGGTTTGGAGTCAGGGAATGAGGGGTTTGAACAAGGGAACAGGCAGCATCTGGATCACTGGTGAGTGGGTGCAGCAGAGGGGCCGCTCTCTGAAGTGTTAGCGTAACCCACAGAGAAGCTAGGCTGCCAAGGCAGGCACATGGGTTTGGAATTTTCTGGGTTCCAATCTGAGCTGTGCCACGGACAAGCTGAGTGGCTGTATAAATTCCTTCACTGCTCTGAATCTCCGTTTTCCCGCGTATGGAAATGGAATCTCTGCTCCATGGATAGATGCAGCTTAGGTAGCACGCGGCACCAGGACTGGCACACGATCGGTGCTGAGTGGTTCCTTCTCCCTACTCCACCCAGGACTTCCCCTTCCGATGCCCCTGCAGAATCCAGCCCACCCTCCAGACCACTCCCTACTTGCAAGCTGCTTGAACTGCGACAGGACAGGCTCGAAGAGGTCATAGTAGATTTGGTGGTTGGCACAGTTGTCCCGGATGTAGAGGAGATCGTCCACTGACACGGGGTCCGAGACACCCTGCCACAGTGTCAGGCTGTACCTGGGGCCCAGAGAGCAGGCTCAGCGTCGGCCTAGGCCCACCTGGCTCCTCAGTCCCTGTGCTCGGAACTGGACCCTAGCTGGGTGGGGGCGGAGCCTCTGACTTCCCACCAGCCCCTTCTTCCAGAGCTACCCCCTTCCTGGGGGCAGAAGAAGCCGCACAGGCTTTGGGGAGGATAACTGGAAGCAGAAGCCCAGAAGGAGGGAGAGGGTGCCTCTTTTCTGTTTTAGGAAAGGGGACGGGCACAGGCGATAGGGGAGTGGTGTGGATGAAGGTGTGGATGAAGGGGGAAGCCTCAGGACTCCTGTGGGGAGCTGCTGAAGGTGGGGCTGGGTAGCTGGGGCAGAGGTTGCAGGGACAATCTGTGCAGCCCCACAGCTGGCTCCCCTGGGAGGAAGCTGTGGGGAGGCAAGTTATGTCTTAGTGTAAATTCAACAGGCAGGAAGTCAGTTATCCACCAGTGGACGGGCTGCCTGTCACCACAAGTATACAAGCAGAAAGGGATGCTGTATAGGATGTGAGCGCCAGTGGGGGTTAGACTAGAATCTTTAAGACCAGCCGTGAGCATCTGGGATCTTCCGGGGGGCATCAGTGCCTCGGGGTGGGTTGAGCAGGAGCAGGGGCTGGGCCAGGGGCGGGGCGTTCTCACCTGTCCGACTGGCCCAGCAGCCAGCTGAAATGGGGCCAGGCAGCCCGCACCATGACAGCCCGCACGGGGAAGGTGACCCTCTGCGGCAGCGCTCCCACCAGCTCCTGCATCTTCTCTATCATGGCTCGGGTGTATGTGCTTTTCGGGAACAGGGGCAGGTAGAGGGTGGTCCAGCCTGGAGACAGGGTGGCCTCAGGATACTTCTCCTGAACCAAGGCCAGGAACCTGCAGAGAATCAGAGACACGTCTTTCAGAGCCTCGCTGGCCCCGTCCTCGCCTCCTGGGTCCCCCTCGCTGTGCGGGAACGTGGCAGGGCCTGTTGAGTCTATGATGTAAAGGCAGAAGCAGAGTCCCGAAGAGCAGGAGTGGCTTGTTCAAGGCCCCACAAATAGGCACGGATTTTAGAGTCAGAGGGTCTGGGTTCAGGTCCTGACTGTGACCTTGGGCCGCTTTGATTCTCAGAGATGGCATCCCTGGGGGCAGGGCCTCTTCAGCATCCCCTTATAGACAGAAGCAATGAAACCCAGAGCCCCAGGGGTCTGGGCTCTGCCTTCTGTGAGAGTCTCTGAAGCTTCAGATTTTATTTTAAAATTTCATTCGGATTTTGCCCTGATGCAAATTTTAATAGGCAAATAATGTTCCCTTCTCTCTCCCCAACTACTGAGTAAAATCAATACTCCAAGAAGACAAAGATATATTTCTCTTGTGCCACTGAATACAATTTTCAAACTACTGCTTTCCAAATGCACCTCAGTTTGAGAATCACAAATATTGGATGAATGGATTGTTGGCTGGACAGATGGATGGAGAGATGGATGATAAGGAGTGTGGGGCTTAAAAACAAGTGTGGGGCTTAGACTCCAAGGCCTGGCTTTGAATCTTTGCTCTGCCAAGTGCTAGACTTAGGCAGGTCCTTTCACTTTGATGAGATAGTTCCTATACTAATAAAATGAAAATAATAGTACCTACCTCATTCTCATTGTAAGAGTTAAATGGGCCCTGGCCGGTTGCTCAGTGGTTGGAGCATGAGCTTTAGCCTGCACACCAAAGGGTTGCAGGTTTGATTCCCAGTCAAGGGCATGTACCTTGGTTGCAGGCTGGATTCCCTGCCCTGTAGGTGCGCATGCAAAAGGCAACCAATCTCTCCCCCCACCTCCCCCCACACACACCTCCCTTCCACTCTATCTAAAAGCAATGAAAAATCCTCGGGTGAGGATTTTAAAAAAATTAAAGTGTATTCTTCAACTAAAGTGCCTGGGGCACATAATAAACATTCAATAAATTAAGCCTCAATTGTTGTCAGCTTTCTTATCTGTAAAATGGGGGTGGGGGGGTGGGGGGGTGGAATACTCCTAGCCTAGTGATGCTGCATAGGAATTAAATCAGTAATATCCTATCCTTTTATGGGACCCTCTTTTGTAAGCTGTAGAGTAACATGCAGTGGTGTGAAGGCTGTTGGTGGCAGCGCTGGGATTTCATGGGGGCTGGGCAAGGAGTCAGCAGTTTAGACTTTCCTAGCAGGTCAAGCCCTGTCCCGGTCACTGGGGATACAGAGCATACCCTGTGGGAGGAGGAGGTGTGCTTTCAGCCTGGGTGTTGGGGCTCTTTTGGAGGAGGTAATGACTAGGCAAAGGTTCATCAGGAAATGGGAGAAAAGCATTCGAGGCAAAGGGAACAGCCTGTGTGAAGGCTCAGAGGTCAGACTGTGTGGTATTTCTGGAGGCGAACGCAGGAAAGGTCCCCTGAGCACTTCCTGTGCCGAATGTGGAAGGAAGGGGGCTGGGTACAGTTGGGGCAGAGATGGGAACACTCACTGTGTGGCATTGACTTGGATGGAGATGGGCACGTTGGGGCCCTTCAGGATGTCGGCGTTGATCCATACAGGCCTCCGGACTTTCCCAGCATCTGTCAGTCTCCGCAGGAGGTCCAGGGAAGGGCCCACAGCCTTGATGCTCTTAAAGTCTAGCTTGATACCTGCGGGAGGAGGCCGAGGGCTTGGGGAACTGGCTTCCCATGCTCAGGGCAGAAGGAACTGGAAGACATGACTTCCTGGGGCTGAAGAGCAGGTCTGTGTGTGTGTGTGGGGGGGGGGGGTTTGGGGGGGGGTGAGGATGGGGTAAGAAAGAAAGGGACCGGATTCTGGCAGAGTGTGAAGAAGGGCTTTCAAACAGGCAGAACTAACCCAGGGAGGAAGGACCCCTGCAGGAGGGCGCGACATCCTCCATCTCCCCTGTGTCCAAGAGGTAACACCCAGATCACACCCAGGATGTACCCTTTCACATCCCCATCTCGCCTGGAATTCCCTCGGCCTGGGCCTCTGGAACTCCGGGCTGGAAAACCAAGGCAATGAGCAGCTCATGACAGCCACTGGACTTGCCTCCCAGGGGAACGGTCCCTGCTGACGCTGTCTGAGGACCAGAGGGCTGGGAGCTGGGGAGGGGCCGAGAGGTGCTCACCTTCAGGGAAGAGGCCACACAGCATCCAGCCACTGCTCCAGGGTGTT